AGGAAGGAAGGAAGGAGGGAAGGAAGGAAGGAAGGAGGGAAGGAAGGAAGGAAGGAAGGAAGGAAGGAGACTTCTGCCAGCTTCCCACAAGCAAAGTCAATGAATACTAAAATAGGAACAAGGCATACTGAACTTAATGAACTTTAACTTTTGACAAGATTTCTCAAGAATTTAACACAACTTGTATACTTAATCTAGCTGTAATATTTCTGAGAAATAATTATTTTCCCTGTATTGGAGATGGATTTATGTATATCTGAGAGAGCATGAATTATGTCCTTTCTGCATTGGTTTTTCTGGCCAAATTCTGATCATTTGAAATCACTAGTGCAATTAAATATTTATCAATTTATGAAAGGAGCAATCATTATACAATTGATCAGATGCTTCTATATAATTTCTCTTTTTAACCATTTTAATTTGTTTGATTAAGCCATGAGATAATAATGTGCCTGAGTTGGTATTAACTAGAATTACCTTATAACTAGCTTTTAAAGTAATACTGTGCTGAGCTGTCCTCCAATTTCTTGAATATTTTCTTCCTCTAAAAAAGCCTCTTGTTTATCTCATTTTTAGAATGCATTTGAAATTTCTTTACACAATTTCATGGTATGTTTGATCTTACCATGCTGTGAATGGGGGTGGGGAAGCCAGCATCCACCACACGGGAATCTCTTCTGGGTATTCTTCTTCTTTGAATTACAGAATGAAAGTAATTCCTTTTTTATGATACTGAATACATTTTTGGAAGAAATTGTTTTTTAAAAAAATAAATAAATAAGCCGGGCACTAGTATGCAAACACTGAATGTTTTTTTCAAACATTCAAATGTTAATTTGAATACCCAAATAACACTGCAGACTTATGAAAAGCCCTGGTTATCATAAAGTATAATGAGACCTAGTGCAAACATAAGGAACGGGAAAGAAGGCATCATAAGATTATATACTAGACTGCAATGATAATGAAAAGGCTCCTTTTAAAAAAATAAATACTTTACATGTGTAACAAATCCCCCTTGCTGAAATGCAGCAAAGTTTGCCATTTCTCCTAAAGCAGTTGCTTAGATTTCTCCTAAACAAAAAGCTTTGAAGACAGCTCACTCTGGTCATTCCTGTCTGAGTAAGACTTCAGTTAAAAGGATGTGACGTCCCCTTTCTGGAGACTGGAGAGTAGCCATCACACTGTGCGAGCCGGATCTCTGTGAAAGACCTCACTGTTCTCTGATCAGTCCCACGTGGGCAGCTGAATGTTAACGCTGCACTGATGTAAGCGGCAAGAAGTTCAGGGTTGGGGAAAGGAGCAGAGATACGCTTGTAGAGTTTCCCACACCACTGTTATGCCATTAAGCTGTTTTTTTTTTCCTGTGGGCTTACAAGTATGCATGAGCAGATGGGACTGATGTGATGAGTTCCTTATTAGCCTCCAGCAGAGGCTGATGAAAAATGCTACACTTGTGAATGGGGTTCAGCGTTCTTGAAAAACCAGGAATAACGTTTGCCCTCCATCCACGCTCTCCAGTTGCTACTGTGGCTGTTGCTGCTGCTCTTATCCCATGGGCATTGATGAGATTTCTCCAGGTACTATATTAACTCATTTTCTCTGATCAAATATAGAAATAATTTGAATACCCAAATGTATTTCCAGCACTGGAAAAAAAAATTGTAAAGAGAGTTTAAAATAGCTTGTTTTGATAACATCTATTATGATACTAAGTTTCTCTGCACAAAGCTTCTGTGGATATGAAGGATAAGAACTCCCTTTTTTAATGTTCTGCTGCTGCTGATTTAATTGCTGATTTAATTTAATTCTAAAAAGATAGGGATTACCTTTTTCTTTTTTTCTGAATAATGCACCCTTGAGAGGCTAGGTTATGTAAAGGAAAATGGATTGAGTCATATTCATGCAATGTGCTTAGATCTATGCAAATGTTTTTGGAAATGAGATGCCATAAAAAAGAAAAGAGATGTTCATAAGACAAAGATCTGAACTGACTACACGATGACTACATCAGTGTGCTGCATGGTTCATAGGGTTGTGAGAAACACAGATTCAGGTGCTGAAACTCATCAGATGCTCTCTCAAATTAACACCCCCTGCTTTTGTGGAGGGTCTGTTTTACTTGGTAAAAGGAGGTTCTGGTCATGCACAGCACGTGTGCAGAAGCTGCTGTTAACCAGACTGGCTGATTGAGGCAGATCATCCCTGTGTGATCACTTGTCAAAATTGAGCAAATCGCCTGGAGGCTTTTCCCCACAGCAAGGCTGAGCTGCACATCTCTGTCAGCTGTGCATCTGTCAGCCTTGCAAGGTAGGCCAGACAAGAAGCACACCCAGAAGTACTAGTTCTAACTTTATTGTAAGGTTAAATTAACAAAATCTTGCAAATCTGAAAGTACCTCTCTCCTCCCCTTACCTTTACAGTCGAAGAAACTAGGGAGAGTCCCTTCTGAGATGTTTGACACACCCCCATTCCTTCTGCAGGCTCAGCTGCCTCTTCTCTGACTGTGGTCTAGTCTTCCACCTGTCTCCCAAGGCCATTCCCACATACCATTACAACATCCGTCTATTGTTCATGTATTCATAATTTTATATAAATTCCAAAGTATATGATTTCAGAAACAATGTATGAGACAGAAAGAGAGAGAAAAGGAAAGTAGGCTGCACCCATCTATTGAAATATCTGTGGAACATCTACTGTAAATGTGTATCTGTAACTTTTTTCATTGTTATGGTTGGTTGCACAGTCAGCAAGAAGTTTAGACTGGATCTGGCATTTTTATCTACCTATCAAATCCTTCCCAAGGACCTGGGATAGACAGATGTTGTTGCCTGATGGTGTTAAAGATATCGTCATAGGATGTAAGCTGTTCCAAGTAAAGCTGCCTTTTGCAACTGAGTGATGGAGATTTTGTCAATGCCGATGGTGTTCAAGTGGTACTCCAGATGTTTTGGGATTGCACCTAAGGTGCCTGTTGCTATTGGTATTATCTTTGCTTTCTTTTGCCATAGTCATTCTACTTCTATTTGCTGGCCTTTCTATTTTGTGATTTTCTCCAATTCTTTCTCTTCTATTCTGCTGTCTCCAAGTATTGCAATGTCCACCATCCAAACTTTTTTGTCTTTCTTATCAACAACTGTTAAGTCTGGGGTATTTTGTGGCAGGTGCTAGTCTGTTTGAATTCTAAATTCCCAGAACACTTCAGCTCCTTCATTTTCTATTGCTTTGTCTGTTTTGTGGCCCCACTAGTTCTTGTTTGCAAATGGTATTTTTTGCAGATATTCCAATGCATCATTGTGCTACTTTGTCATGCTTTTGTTTGTAGTCATTCTGTGCAATCTTCTAACAGCAGCTAACTAGGTGGTCCCCTGTTTCTTCAGCTTCTTTGCAGAGGTGGCATTTGCTGTCTGTTGCTGTCTTCTCAATTCTGGCTTTGTATGCATTTGTTCTTAAGACTTGGTCCTGTGCAGCCGGAATTAGCCTCTCTGTCTCTTTCTTCAACTTTCCTGCTCTTAGCCATTGCCAGGTCTTGTGTGTGTGTTTGTGTGTGTGTGTGTGTGTGTGTGTGTGTGTGTGTGTGTGTGTG